CAATCTCAGTACTTGATATTGATGTGTTTAAGAGTTCCGTTTCTTCCTGGTTAAGTCTAGGAAGATGGTGTGGTATTGATCCATTTTCTCCACATTGTCAAATTTCTGAGCATAAAGTTTTTGGTAGTACTCAGAAATAATTTCATATATCTCTGTGGTATCAGTTTTCATTTCTAATTGAGGTTATTAGAGATTTTACTTTTCTATTTTTGGTTAATCTGTCTAAATACTTTATCTATTTTATTTATCTTTTTAAAGAACCAACTTGTTTCATTAATTTTTGTAATGATTTTTTTAAATTTCATTCATTTCTGATTTAATTTTGGTTATTTATTTTCTTCTGCTAGGTCTGGGATTCGATTGCTCTTCCTTCTGTATTATTTTAAGATGATTCATTAGGTTATTGATGTGCTCTCTTTCTGTGTTTTGTATGTAGGCATTTAATGCGATAAATTCCCTCTTAGGACTGCTTTTACAGTGTCCAAAGGTTTTGGTAGCTTGTGTCTTCATTGTTATGCTGAAGGCGGTTAATGATTTCCTTTTTTTCTCTCTCCCTTGACGGAACTATCATTCAGTGTAAGTTTTTTTGATTTCCATGTATTTGTGTGGGGATGACAATTTTTGTTGGAGTTGAGTTCCACCTTTAATGCCTCCAACAAAGATACAAGATAATAAGATAAAATTTCAGATCTTTTGATTTTGGTGAAGCTTGATTTGTCCTAGGATATAATGTATTTTGAAGAACGTTGGATGGGCTGATGAGAAGAATGTATAATCTTTAGCTTTGGGATGGAGTGTTCTATATATGTCTATCAAGCACAATTGTTCTAGGGTCATATTTAAGTTTCTTGTTTATTTGTTTAGTTTCTATTTAGAGGATCCGTCCAGGTCTGTAAGAGGAGTGTTAAAGTCCCCTGCTATTATGGTGTTATGAGATATCATATTACTCAGACTAATTAAGGTCTATATCATGATCTTGGATCACTTAAGTTGGGTGCATAAATATTTAGAATTGAAATGTCTTCTTGTTATATTGTTCGCTCGATCAGTATGAAGTATCCGTCTTTGTCTTTTTTGACTTTAGTTGCAATCCACTCGTATCTGAAAATAAGATTGCAACCCCTCTTTTCTTCTGATTTCCACTTGCCTAAAAAAATGTCTTCTATCCCCAAACCCTGAGTTTTAATTTATCCTTCGAGGCTAGGTGTATTTCTTGCAGATAGAAAATGGATGGCTTGTACTTTTTTTTTTTTTTT